TAGATTAATTTTAATTCTTTTCAGTAGTATTCAAAGTTACGGATTTTATCCAAATTAAATACTAAAGCCATGCACTGAAGGCAACAAATGATCAAAAGGCAATCGGTTAGGGAATTTTTTTTCCCCTAAGAATTTTTCTGTGGTAAGTAAGAGCTGCAAAAGACACTTGCAACATTAAAACTGAGAGCCGTTATTGAATGAGGAGAATTCCTCAATATTTTTAGGATATGCAACCTATGGACTTAATCAACCATATCAAAATAATGAATCTCACCTATTTTCAATATAATTTTCTACAATTTCGTCTAGTTTTTCTGATATGGATCCAAAGTAACTTCCGGGTGCATATCTTGAAAGAGCAGGGTCAGGACAGACTAAGTTGGAATCTTGATATCTGTAAGAAAGAAAGATGGAAATAGAGATAGCAATTAGCAAGAATTCTGGTCAAGTATAACGGAATAAATTTGCATAGGTGATCTGCAGACTTGCTTTGTAACGGAGGCTGTTGAGAATATTTGATCAAAATAACTTGGAAACTAAGAGCAAGGACATTTCAAGAAGATTTTTTGGACAAGTTCAAAGTAGAAATTCAATCTGTTTGAAAGAGCTTTATATAAATACTCATATTGTGCTTCAACTAGATTTCTTTAAACCTTTGTCTATTGATTGCTTACTTGATCCCTTTTTTCCCACATATCTAAAAGGCCTCTAGAATTATAGGTCCAATATCTTTACGTGCTAGCAAAGTCAGGAACCAACGATGGCGAAAAATTGAGTTATGACAAAATCGGGAAATTTTGTGGTTGGAATGGATAAAGGAGGTGCATAGGCTAACTAATAGGATCTCTTGAGAGATGCTATGGTTAGTCCATCATTTTTTTTCTTAGCCTATTACAACTACCCGTTTTGATCAATGGGCTTGCTCTATTCTCCCGGCATTTTCTTTGTAAATCCCTTTGTCAAATTCAACATAGAGTCCACAGCACATATTTTCTCAACTTAATTTCACGCAGATCTTTTTGAACATACCCAAAACTTTTTACAGTTAGCATTTTTCAGCAAACTTTTTTCTTGCAAAAAGAGCCACTTAATAGGAAAGAAGCTGCAAACCAAGCGACAGGCTTTGAGGCAACTTTCACTTTTTGTAGCTCTTCTTTGAAAGACACCAAGGAGGCATACCTTTCTTTAGTTCCTTTGTCCAACTCTTCCCATTTTTTACACAGCAGCAAGTCAAGATGTGATCTTCCATATGCTGGATTGATTTGCCCAGGAGCATCGATTCTAAAGCTGTTCTTCATGTCTGCAGAAAATCTCGCGAATGAGCGTTGTGTTTTCGACCGGTTGGCACGACTTCTTTTCCTCCATAATTTAACTTTATCCATGTAAGCAATGACTTGTTCAACATCTGCCTGTTTCTTGAATTGTCTGATACATGCTTTATCGACAACTGATTCCACATTTTTCTCTAAAAACTGTAATAAATTCGGTTTGAAATACTGAGACTTGCAAACATCCAGCCCATCTTCTCCATATAAAAACTGAATGACGCTACCGTCGCTATCTCGGACAGTCATATCATAATTTACGACCAATCCTTCCAGATGCTTGATGAGACATCGCTGGAGATAACCACTACGACTGGTCTTAACAGCAGTATCAATTAAACCTTCACGACCAGCCATACAATGGAAAAAAAACTCTTGCGGCTGAATACCTGTCATGAATCTTCCATCGATAAAACCACCAGCCCTTGGTGATGTATCATACGGCTTGAAACTAGGCAAAGAACGTCCTGATGTCATTAGAGGCGGGCGTTTTCCCTCCAATTCAATTTGGCCAAGCAGACAGGAAATTTGCATAGTGTTGACGGTGGAACCTTTCGCTCCTGATTGTACCATGAGTTGTAAGTTATTTCTTGGAAATTCCTCTAAAAGGCCCCGAGGTAAACACGTTGAGTTGATTGAGTTGGTGAGTGCATCTAATGCTGACTTGTATTCCCGATCCACAATTGCTCTAAAGTTCGGAATTTGTTGGTGCGATATTTCTAATTCTTTGGCAATTGCTTCTGGATCGGTGTCCGGTGGGAGATTCATTGCACAAGCTGCTACTAGAGACCCTATGCTCCTAACTTCTTCAATTATTTTTGAACGTTCCTCATCTGCTTTAGGCTTCACTAAAATATCTTTGACATCAAGTGTAAAGCCTTCAAGCTGTAGAACGCATGTGAAAAGCTTGGAAAAAGAGCTTAGCAACCGGCTTGAAGCCTCACCACCATATAATTCGTAAAAGCTATGAACTAAGCCATAGGACGTTGCTCCACAGTGAGTTTTATCAATAACACCAGATAGTAACTGTCCATTCCGAATGATGACCTCAGACTCACTCATCGTCTTTGGGTTTTTCAGCAGGTAGGCCAATTTAGAATAGGCCCAGGCTTTAACTGGTATCTTTGAAGAGGAATTCAAGTTCAGAGGGAATTTACCTCTAGGTGTTAAGTTAATGATTACTGTTGAAACTACCTGCTTCCCAGACCAGAGAGCTTTTGGTTTGATCATGCAAGGTGGGAGCACTTTTATGGGCTCTCGGATGAATGACAATGCTTGATAAACCAAGTGCATGTAGGTTACTCTGTCAAAGAAGGATCCTCTGGTTGTCAAATGTACAGCACCGATGACATGATCTTGAATGAGTCCACTTAGAGGAGTACCATCTTTTGGTACTAGATATTGTTTGGTAGAGTTCACTATGCTGTAAGCTTCACTTCTCGCAACTTCATTTTGCGCAAAATGGGTATTCATTTCATCACCATCAAAGTCCGCATTGTAGGCTTTGCAGTTGGCATAGTGTAAGCGTAATGTTTTCTCCCCTTTCAGAATTCTTGCCTTGTGAGCCATAATACTAGGTTTGTGCAAGGTGGGTTGACGATTGGCTAGAAGAATGTCACCATTCATGAGGTGACGTAAAACAACTTTCCCACCTTTAGCCGTTTCTTCAGGAGTTAACAAGCGTTTAGCAAGACTTTCTCTTTCAACAGGTTTACTATCACTGATGCGATATACTGTTCCATTTTCATTGACAATCGCAACAGCTCCCGGGTAAATCAAAGGTCCATTTTTGACTAGTTCCCTCAACTCAACAACATTCCACGGTGTTACTGGCACAGGATAAGTTAAAACCTTGGCAAACGGTTCTGGAAATCCAATTTCATTGATGTCTATATTTGGATCTGGAGTGATAACAGATCGTGCTGCAAAATTGACACGCTTCCCCATCATATTCATTCTAATTATACCTTCTTTCTTTTCGATGACCTGCTTTAAGCCAGGGATTACATGGTTTCCAGAGCTTACCTTTCCCAGTAAGAGAATGTCGACGTTGGACTGCAGCTCATGCCATGCTGTCTGTAGCTTTTCCTCAACAGTTAGACCACGCGCCCGATTGGTGATTGATATAATTTCTTCCGGTATAGTTTCATCATCTTTTGGATTAGCTAAAAAAAGAATACTCTTCAGCAAAAAACAATTGGCAAGGATGGACTTATACACAGTATTGTTTGGATGTTCAACAGGGGAATTTCGAACTATATTAAAAGGTCTCATTGCTGAGGGAGTCACAAGAATGGCATCTAGGAAAATAATGTCAGTTGGAACTGAGCAAGTGCTCCGCTTTAGGACAGGAATTAGCTCTTCAATAAATGTTCTGTCATTTGTCCAGATGCTTTTGAGATGGTTTTTTAGTTCGGTCGGGCTTAAAAATACTTGCCCACTTCTAACTCTTTCGACGGACTTGCTAGTACTATCAGTTGACTTATTCAAGTCAGTTCCCTCGTTAGTTTTCCTTCTCCGCGGGGCAGACAAAATTTTGTTTCCAGAAAATGTTAGAATAGGAGTATCATATTTGCAGAGAGGGCATACTCTGTTCTTTTTCACTTGATCAAAAGCTAATTTGAAAAAGCTAGATCTCTCCTGGTCATACGACTTAAAAGACTGGTTTGTTTTCGCCTTACAGTCATTATTATCATGTGATTGCTTTAGGCTTTCAATGTATTGATCTAGCTTACTGGTTAAGAAATTAAAAAATACCTCCGGTGACTCGTTGTCGCCACAAGAATTGTCATTTCCAATTATATAACGCTCAATGTTGGCTGCTTCGACAATAAATCCAGCATCCAAGAGCCTCAGCTGGCATTGGAGTAATGACTTGGCTTTTGGCGGCAATAAGACATTGTGACATTGAAGGCAAGAGACTGATATGATTTCAAAGATTCGTTTGTGAAACAGCGGATTAATTACTTCGAATGGTAGCTCTATATGACCGGTGTGACCAGGGCATTTCATGGCCATCCAGCCACAGGTGGTGCATGATAACATTCTGTCACATGGCCCTAGTCTAGGGTCGTAGAGTCCTCCGGGTAGGGGATGGCCGAGAACATTGAAAGAATTCGTCGTCACTATCTTTACCACACTCATATTCTTCACTTCTTCGGATGAGTAAATGCCAAAGAAGGCCTCATCGGAGTATACGCTACGTAGATTCCCATGAAGACTGTTCGGTGCTCCGTACATTTTGGCGATACCCGGATAACAGTGCACTGATCACTTTCGAAAAGCGAAGACTAAGGCTACTTTTGAACGTTTGTAACTGATCCGAAAGGGTTCGTGAAACACATTATCAGAGGAAAAAAAAGTACTGAAGCTTTGGGGTTCAGCAGGAATTCAAGAAATCACACGTGCTCTACGTTGACATTGGGTAACATAACCTTAAACAAACACAAACAGTAGTATAGACAGAGGAAAACAGGAGAGGAGGTAGCGAGCGGAAAAATTACAAGTTACTATGTCACAGCAAGCAAAGTCAGGACTGAAGGGCAACTGACAGGAACTGTGACAAAGTTGGGTCATGATGGCGTGAAGTTGCAAAGCTGCGTAGCTGTAGCCTTACTCTCATTGGCCAATAATATACCCATGTACTTTTCTAGGGTCTCAGTCTACGTCACGTCTAGGATTTCTTCACTTCCTGTGTTCTCACCGTTTTCACTGTTGTTTCGTTTGTGACCATAGATTATAGTGGTGAAAAATATTATTCGTTTTTCTTCATTTCTTCACGTCCGTGAAGATTTCGTGTACATGGTCATGTTGGAGTGAATCAGGAATATTAGTGCCCCGTACTTACACTCAGCACTCTTGAGTTTTCTTAACCTGTACCTACGCACCTTCCAGAAAAAAAGTGCAATATTTAATCGCAGAAGGTTGTTCCGGATTACTTATCACTATCAGTCAGTTCTGTATGTTAATGAAATAGATTTGACTGTGACCTGTAACTCTGGTAGTTCTGGCTGTCGGAAGGCTGGAAGTTTTCTTTGTGCAGTCCACCAACCGCAGGTATTTGTTGCTTACGATAGCTTCTCATTTTTTCCTTCTATCGAGCTCCCCTAAGGTCATTTTTTTTTTCTGTGTAAGCTTCCTAGAGGTATCATCAGCTAAGTTGGTACTTTTTCACACTCCGTTCACAAGAGATGCAGTTGTCCATTAAGGGTTGAGGGTTGACATCGCTCTCGATCGGGCCGCGTTCAATCCTCGATCGCCATTGCAATCGCTTGCAAGCTGAACGTAAAAAAAATGCCAGCCCAGCTAAGGATACCTGTTCTTCCCAGCTACCCCATGGCCTTTGATTTAGAAAATAGTAAGCAGGGATAGAGCGGAGTCATCATACGTTAAGATAAAAGTCAAGTATCGTTCATGTCACCACTCATTAGTTGTGCCATCTAACTGCATGTATTAATCTGTTAAGTGGTGCAGATTCAGAACTAATCAGAGATTGGCATTTGCCTCAGCGTACGATCACTTTGCTCTAGTATCTTTTTGCCAGTGGTAGGTTGCTGGTAGAGGGAGATTTTACTTTGGGCGATATTATCTGGAGGTGTCATAAGCTAAGTTAGCAGTTGTTTGGCGCGGGCAGTAGATAGCCGCCTGGCCAGGTGAGAGAGGGCAAAGCAAGCCCAGAACAACCATTATAATATGAAAGTCTTAAGAAATTGCTGATTATTGATTCATCACCAGATTTTTGGATCCAGATTCTCGGTCCAGCTCAATTCTATCACTTTAAGAATCATCGAATCTAATATTGCTTATAATTATAGATTGTAACAAGGTGGAATTTATGTAGGCAAGATGTTTTAAGCTCTAATGAGTATGAGGACAATACTAAAGGGGGGGGGGGAGGATTGTTCAGCTTAAGCAGATGCATTTGAATTCATGCTTTTTTTCTACCACCTTGTTACTTACAGTTTGGGCTAGAGAACCTGTATAGCGAGAGTATAGACCGATGTGAAACTCAGAAAATCCATCAGGCCTTCACCGATGCCTCTGTGAATAAAGTTAGGGCCCAGAAATGCAGCCAACCTATGAATTTCATTTATCCAGAGCGATTTACTTACCAGTACAATTACCTACAACGAACCGTCGTATATAAAGCATGTATTTGACTTAGTTTTTGCATAAATTTACTAATTTTTGCAGTAGAATGCTCATTAATGTACATTCTTAGCCATCTTGGTTAGAATCGGAATCTGCAGACTGGCAGTGAAATTTTATGCTTTAGAAGTTGGTTAGAAGGGTGGCTGCACTTTCGGGCCCTAAGCCCTCCATGAAGCGATCTGTCTATACTCTCGCTACATAGGTACTCTAGTTTGGGCCACATTTTTAGTGTTTTCTTTTGTTTTTCAAAACTTAGTTTCGGGGTTGCAAGTATCAGGTAAAACCTGGAAAAGTCAGGGAATTTGAACATCTTGGGAAGTTACGGAATTCTGCTCTTAGTCAGGGAAATTCTCTGGGTGGTAGCTCAACAAAAACTTCCATCATCTTGGATCTTTGAATTTTGAAAATTCGATTGAAATTTAAATTTATAAGTCAAGAAATATCCTCTGACACCAAGTCTCACAAAAATCGATTAAACAGGAGCCAAAGTAGCACTTCAGACTACATCCCTCATCCTGGATTTTAGAATTTTAAAAATTTGAGTTGAAATTCAAGTTTACCGTAAATAAATGCTACCGAGTGCCAAGCTTCACAAATATCGTTTAAACAGAAGCCGCATCGTACGATCAGTAGGACTCAACACAGTGGTTAACGATACCAGTCTATTCACAAACGTTAAAAACGCCTTCATTTCCGCCTGATACCGTGCAATACTTCCGAGATGGAATAGTTGCTCTGAGCGCCTTCAACAGTGTAGCTTCGATCTGATGGCAGAAGATCGGGATTGTCGCTGATTATTATATTCTAGCGCGTGCGCTGTTAGGTACACATTTACTCATCATTGGCAACGATGAGGTAAAAAACATTCATACTCGACGTTGCAAATTTTTCACTGGCATTTTTTACGGGCAAACGAACGGGAACTTTATTAATCTGCCATGATTTTTCCAAATTCCAGGTATTCTAAAACCGAAAATTGCTCAATTCTTGCTTGTATTGTCAGATTATTGTTGCTTTTCAATTATTTTTTATTTTTTACCAAACAAAAGTACGTACTATAAACGCTTAGCGATGCACGGGTACTTGGGCTAGGTATCTGAATGATGGAAAACGGGAGTGAGAAATCAAGTTCGCCTTCAACTAGATTGATGCAACGTTAGTGACTCAGGAGTCAAGAACAACTTTGAAATTAAGATACACTGCAAAAGATGGAGGACAGCCCCGCTCTCGTGCTCAAATCTGAATAAGTAACTAAAAACGGTCCGAACGAGAAATCAAGTTCGCCTTCAACTTTATAGATAAAATGCGGCTCAGTAGTTGAAATAGTTGTATCGCGCCTTTTGATCTAGCAAGATGTCCGAAAGGCGAGTGACTTCAGTCGTAATCTTTGTGTTATTAGTGACTAGCAGGAAACCCGTGCTACGCACAGGAAAACCCCACCATCAGCAATCACTGTGATTAGTGATCAGTTACTAATTGTGTTTCTGAATTATTATCTACTATTTCAAAATTGGCGAGACGCACTGGTTTAATTAAAAAGTTGATATTAGTAGTATGCTGCTATTTTGGTCTGTTCTGCAATAAGCTCACATGATAATTATAATAATCAAAAATTCCCAATCAAAAGTTGGTTATTTTCATAAAGATTTGTTACTTTTGTCAGTTCAATGTTTAATTGAAGTTAGCTGGTGAGTTTCAGCCGCGAAATAATTACGGGATTTAACCAGCGGTTTCGTTTAATTCACAGCAATGGCGGGTTTGTCATCTACATCGCGGAGAAAACTTGATTTTTCCTGGGATTTTGTAAAACAAATTAGAAATTACACGA